CAGGAGAAGTCGACCTGCATAGCGATTCTGGCTATCGTCGTCTCAACGGAGATGAAGACGACGAAGTCAAAGGCTATGGTATCCGCGGGGCTAACCTGCTGAGGCGTGGCCACACGCAAGCGGGGAAACCCGTCGTGCACCTGGTGGACGCATACTGCAAGTCTCATCGACTGCAGTGCGTTCGAGCTACTCTGCGGAAACACTGGCAGCAGCCCACAACTTGGAAGACTGCTACCCGACCATTGTAACGCTCCACGAGCTACACTCGGGACCATTGACCCCCACACAGTTGAAGAACATATTGGAAATGGGTGGTCTATGTATCAAAGTCACTCTGACTATTGATGCCGAGTCTGTCTTCAAATCTTTGTCTAGCAAGGATCTGAAGAAGCCCACAGAGTGTACTCTGCTTGGGCACATCAGCTGGATTCGCCAGATGATGGAACGTGGAATCGTGGAAAGCGTCCAATGGTGTGACACGCGGGATATGACTGCCGATGGTCATACCAAAGGTAGCATTGACCGCGCGTTGCTCCTACAAGTAATGGCCGGCCAGCAATCCTTCAAGCACGAGCTGAAGAAACATACGCCGTATAGGGCGGGCAGGTCGTCTCAGGACGGCCCTGCCTCCCGAGCCAGCGGGGAAACCCGCGGGCAGGTGCGCTTTAGCAGCGAGGAAACTCGCCGGTAGCGAGGCTACTCGCGCGCCCTTTCCTTGTAGGCAGCCGCTGCTGCTTAGCACTGTTTTTCCGCATAATAGAAGTGCGGTACCTGCTCGTCTCCTCCCCCTCCGACTTTAAACGGAGAAGGTTAAAGGCGAGGTATAAATCGAGCATGTACCGCTGCCGTGCCTGGCTCAAGCCGGGCCCGGCCTGATATATGACTGTGCCTCACTGAGGCGCACGACTTGCATCAGAGATCGGAAAATACCTTTTCCATTGACGATGCCCATCCTATCCTTTACTCCAGATCCCATGCTTCGTCTCGCTCTCTTGCTCATGCGATATGAGCCAAAGCCTGGGATATGGGAGCGCCTAAGGCGGACTACATACCTAAGCTTACCAGCTTGTTTTCGACTGCCTCTTGGGCCGTCTTGGGCCGTCTTGGACTCTCTTGGGCCGTTTTGGAGGCCGTCTTGGACCATCTCGGGCGGACTTGGAGGCCATCTTGGGCCATCTTCGCGATTTTTTGAGGATGTCCCGAGCGAAACGGCCGTTTTTTGGAGGATTTTTTTCCGGATTGAGGTCCTTTCGGCTTCCTCCCGGGACCCCGGCGGGACGGGCCGAAGCCCACTGGGGAGTTCTTTTAGAAAAAGAACCAAAACAAAACCTGAATCATCCAGCACGCCGTGCACCCCTGCAAGCAGGGGGCGGCGGATCCTACTGGCCTTCGGCCCATCCCGCCGCCGTGCCTTGGTTGTCGGTCTGAGGCCTCTTGTGGGTGCGTTCGGGTCTCGTGGTCTCGGAGGCGATGTTCCGTCCGAGCTGGGACTGGGTGGGTGGGTGCGTCAGCACTGATAAAGTTCTTAGCCGTGTTAGCCGTGTAGCGCACGGCGGGACGCCAAGCTTTCAAAAAACAAGTTGCTCGGAGCTGCATTTGGTCGGAGTTGCATCTGGTCTGGCTGGTCTGGCTGGTTTGGCTGGTCTGGCTGGTCTGGTTTGAGCCCAGTGCTGAAGCTTTAGGTTAGGATCTGGGCGAGAGTGGTTTAGGGGAGGTCCAGGGAGGCAGCGCCGGGGACGACCACCGAAAAACGTTTTTTTTGCATTGCGGTTTTTTTTTGCATTGCAGTTTTTTTTTCATTGCAGTCTGGCTGGTCTGGCTGGTCTGGTTTGAGCCCAGTGCTGAAGCTTTAGCTTAAGATCTCGGCGAGAGTGGTTTAGGGGAGGTCCAGGGAGGCAGCGCCGGGGACGACCACCGAAAAGCGTTTTTTTTGCATTGCGTTTTTTTTTGCATTGCAGTTTTTTTTGCATTGCAGTCTGGCTGGTCTGGCTGGTCTGGTTTGAGCCCAGTGCTGAAGCTTTAGCTTAGGATCTGGGCGAGAGTGGTTTAGGGGAGATCCAGGGAGGCAGCGCCGGGGACGACCACCCATGTATTTCAAGCCACTTTTTCGCCCCCAAAAAGAAGCTTGAAATACCCGCTTTTTTTTGCCGTTCCGTAATGGGCGACGACGACGACGGCGACGGCGACGACGACGACAACGACCGACGACGACGGCGACGACGACTCACACCGCATAGCTTGCATAATACATCCTTTACCACATCGATTCCACCGCGTAGCTCAAACAACATAGCATATACCACATAGGTTGCACCTCCATGGTGCAGCAACTTGCTGTTTGGGGCCCGCGACGGCCGACATGTTCCAAATTCGCTTCTTGCTTTCGCTTTCACACCCCTTTTGGAAAAAAAAACATGGATTTCAAACCACTTTTTCGCCCCCAAAAGGTGCCTTGAAATACCAGCCATTTTTTGGCCGATCCGCGGGCGAGAAATTAATTGGCGACGACGCCCGACGACGGCGACGACGACGACGACGACCGACGACCGACGACGACGACGACGACCGACGACGACGGAAAGGGGATGGCGACGGAGGGAACATCAACAGCCATATCAGTTCTTATGCCCCAAAGCAAAGTAAGGCGCCGGGGCATAAAAACTTTGCACCTCGAGCGGCTTAGAATTAGTTATTGGTGTCGGAGATTTCCTGAGGTTGGGGCTATTGCGATGCAGGGCGTTCAGTTTTTTTTTATTCGTTTGGGGCGGGTTGGGCAAAAGGATCGCACCCTTCGTCCAGTCGAGCCTCTTGCGGGGTATCTGTAATGCGTGGGACACCTCGCGGAGATACCGCCAAACCACATTAGGTTGCAGCTTCGGTTGCCAGTGTCTTGCTGGGGATGAACTCGTTCATTATATTCAATGTCCTGTGCGTCTAGGAGTGATTCGCTCTCACTTGCCTGGGCTCCCACATTGGTGGGGTGCGGGGGTGTTTGCTGGGCTCCTAGTTTTCCAGTTTCCCCTCTCCAGCGACGAAGCAGTCTCTCTAACACGTTTAACATGCTGCGAGCTCAGGGGTTTTGCAGTGCCTCGGGAGCCGTGCGCATCGCTGCGGGGCGGTTCCGCCGCGTTTGCCGGCGGGGTGTCAGGGCTAGGGCCATGCCGCGGCGCTATGGCGGCACGCGGCGCGCCCGAGCTCTGCCAGACAGACCAACCAATGGGATCGGGGTTCTTCCTCCTCCTCCTCTTCCTCCTCCTCCTCCTCCTCCTCCTCCTCGCGTGAAAGTGTACCCAGTTTCGAGGGTTGCTGTGGAGCCCCAGGTCCGAAAAGGACCTCGACATCCCTGGAGCGGCTGCGGGGTGTGAAGCCGACGCCGCTTTCGAGGTTTGCTGGGGGGCCACCACAGTGGGGTCCCACGCAGATCCAAACGGGACCTCGCCATCCTGAGGGGGGGGGGTGCGACATGTGAAATTGTCGCCATTTTCGTGGGCTGCTGGGGGAGCCAGCACGGTGGGGCAACGCGCAGATCCCAACAGTATGAGATTGTCGCCACTTTTGAGAGCTGCTGTCAGGACCACAGTGGGGCCCCACGCATATTCAAACGTGACCTCGCCATCCCTGTGGGGGTGGCTGCGCAGTTTGAAACTGTCGCCACTCTCGAAGTTTACCGGGGGAGGACAACACAATGGGATGCCATGCGAATCCAAAGGGGACCTCGCCATCCTTGGGGGGGTTGCGAAATGTGAAACCGTCGCCACTTTCAAGGGTTGTTGGGGGGGGGGGAGCACAGTGGGGCCACGCGCAGATCCAAACGGGACCTCGCGATCCTGAGGGGGGGCGCTGCGAATATTGAAACTGTCGCCACATTCCAGGGCTGCTGGGGGGGCCAGGGTGTGCAACTGTCGCCAGATTTGGCCACGCACACTTTTCACGATATAGATATCCGCCGTGCACCGTCCCTTGCAGTGTTGCTGTTACGCTATTGTCGGCACGCGTTATGTCATACCATGGTGCCGATGGGTTGGGTATGCTCAGTGTGATTCCGTGTGTCTCATGTTCTTGAAGGGTATTCGTCTGTCTTGGTTGGTGCCGTTTGGCACCACAACTTCGGGAGCCTTGAGACGGGGGTCAATGCAAACGTGGGTCAGCGAGAGCACCGTATCTTGTCGGATCCTGCTAAGTCAGGGTTGCATTGGCGTGGGCTAGCGCGCAGGATCATGCAGGATCCTTCAGGATCCGGGTCCTGCGAAGCCTGGCTGACCTGGTTGTGCATTGATTCGGGTCAGTCGATCCCCGACACAAGCGATGAATATGATGGTGATGGTCATGGTGGTGATGATGATGATGATGATGATGATGATGATGGTAGCGGTGATGGTGATGATGATGATGATGAAAGTGGTGATGATGGTAATGATGATGGTGATGGTGATTGTGATGGTGATGTTGATGATCATGATGATGCTGCTGCTTATGATGATGATGAGGATGATGCTGATGATGATGATGATGATGCCGTGGGGGAGTAGAATATCGGGATATGGGATATGGACGCACACACACATTCACGGACACATGCATACATACATACCGTATATATACACATATATGTATCTATACATATCAGCATTTGTTTGCATGAGCATCGATGACAGCGCATATGTGTATATAGTAGACAGAGAGGGGGGAACGAGAGAGAACGAGAGAGAGAGAGAGAGAGAGAGAGCGAAAGCGAGGAATAAACAGAAAGAGAGAGAGAGAGAGCGAGGAATAAACACAGAGATATAGAGAGAGAGAGAGAGAGAGAAAGAGAGACAGAGAGAGAGCGCGAGAGAGAGAGAGATAGAGAGAGAGAAAGAGAGAAAGCAAACACAAACGAGGCTGGGCTGGGAACGGCGAGACAGGCGGAGGTGACGGAAGGTCCGGCAGCGCAGTGCATCCACGGGGGAGGAGGGAGTGCAGGGGGAAGGGGGGGGGCGGGAGGCACGCCGCGGCCCGAGGTGATTGGCCAGCTGTACAGTCGCAGCTTCCCCCCTGGAGTGCGCGAGGAGGCCCCTCGTCTTCTGCCCGGTGCCCGGGAGGAGCGATGGAGGGCGATGGATCGGGCGACGCTAGCCTCGGGGGCGGCAAAGAGGGGGGTGATGACTAGGGGGGGTGGATGTCGTTGCGTGGGCCATGATATTTCCCCAGATTTCATGGCGCCTCTTCTTATTTCATTACGTCCATGGCCCCTCCGCTGGGCCGCGCACATGCCGCCGGTCATGATTTGCACCCCCCCCTCTTGGACCCCCCCCTCTTGGTCGTTCCCGATAGCCATGCAAATGCGGTGACTTGTGTATGATACGCGCGCGCGAGATATGTTTTTTCTTTTGCGTGGAGGCTTGTGGTGGGCGGGGCCAGTTGCGTCTACATCTCTCGTCGTGATTCCGAGTGGTGCGTCAGCCACGCATCTTCGGATTTGATCGGAGGGTCGTGTGTGCAGCCGGGACACTTGGCCAACACTCTAAAGTTGTCGTTGCAGGCAGGGGCAGCGCAAGCCGCAGTAGCGCTCTCTGACACCTGATAGGAGCAGGAAAGGAAGGCGCGACTGCGTGGGACGCGCAGGGTGCGCGGAGGTGTCGCGGGCGATCGGAGTGCCAAGTCTACGAGCATGTTTTCTCCAGCTGCCTGCGACAAGTCTCGCCACCGTGCCAGCCCAGCATGCTCGGTTGTTCTCCTTCGGGGGGGCACCAGAGGCCGTACTTGCGAAGGATGAATATCATGATAACGATAACGATAATACTAATGATTGTGATGCTGATGATGATGGTGATGCTGCTGCTGATGATGAGGATGATGAGGATGACGATGATGATGCTGATGCTGATTCTGCTGCTGATGATGATGCTGCTGATGATGACGATGGCCGTGATGATGCTGATCATGCTGCTGCTGGTGCTGATGATGATGATGATGATGGTGCTGGGGATGATGCTGCTGATGATGATGATGATGACGATGATGATGATGTTGATTATGTTGCTGCTGCTGATAATTTTTATAATGATGCTGCTGATGCTGATGACAATGATGATGGTGATGATGATGATACTGATGCTCATGATTATGATGATGATGATGATGATGATGATGATGGTAGTGCTGATGGTGAGGATGTTAGTGATGATGATGTCGATGATGATAATAGTGATGATGCTGAGGTGATGTCCATCATGGTGGTGATGCTGATGTTGATGATGATTTGATTTGATGTTGATGATGGTCATGGTGTTGATGATGCAGATGATTACGATTATGATTGTGTTCATGTTCAGATGATGTTGCCGATGACGGTGATTGTGATGACGATGCTGATGCTGTTGGCGACGAAAATGATGCTGATGATGACGATGACGATGATGATGATGCTGATGATGATAATGTTGGATATGATGACGATGATGATGCTGCTGCTGATGATGATGATGATGCTGATCATGCTGCTGCTGCTGATGAGGAGGAGGAAATGATGATACTACAAATAATAATATTGATGATGATGCTGATGCTGTTGCTGATGCTGATGATGATGCTGATGATGATGATGATGATGATGATGACGACGACGATGATGATGATGATGATGATGATGATGTTGTTGTTGGTGTTGACGATGGTGATGATGATGATGATGCTGTTGCTGATGCTGATGCAGATGATGATAATGATGCTTATGATCATGATGATGCTGATGATGATGCTGATCATGCTGCTGCTGATGATGATGAGGAGGAGAAGGATATTATGATGATGCTAATGATGATGCTGATGCTGTTGCTGCTGCTGCTGATGCTGATGCTGATGATGCTGACGATAATGTTGTTGATGACGATGATGACGATGATGCTGTTGCTGATGCTGATGATGATGATGCTGATGATGATGCTGATGTTGATGACGATGATGACGATGATGCTGTTGCTGATGCTGATGCTGATGGTGAGGATGATGCTTAGGATGATGCTGATGCTGCTGACGATGATGATGCTGATGATGATGATGATGATGATGATGCTTATGATGATGATGATGCTGACGATGATGATGATGATGCTGCTGCTGCTGCTGATGATGATGATGATGATGATGGTGATGCTGATGCTGATGATGATGCTGATGATGCTGATGCTGCTGATGATGCTGATGATGCTGCTGATGATGCGATGATGATGATGATGATGCTCATGATGCTGATGCTGCTGATGATG